TGAAACAGGGTTCAAATAGAACAAAGAAAACCAGGAAAGGAGCATCTTACAAACAGACGTGGGTTTCCCAGCTCAACTATATCGAGAGGAGGTTGAAGACTCCCCTACCTATGTGTCAGCCCAGCATGTCCATAAAACACAGTCATCTCGCTCAAACCCCATCCACACCATGTAAAATATCTGCAACACCAAAAACCTTCAGGATTACAAGAGCATTTCTGACCATTTCTAACCCTGCAGGAGAGTCGGGGACTCTTCGGTGACGGACTGGAGGTGTATCCTGATGAGTCACGGAGGTGAGCCCCACCAAATTCTCCCAAGAGGTCAAACCAACCAAAGTGGGAGCTGGTTGACCCAACGCCTGCCTACAATAGCTCCAGGAAAATGAAAAACGGAGAAATACTAACATGTCCAAACGGTGTAAGAGGTCATGCCAGTTGACTACCATCCATTTTACCACGCTCTGTCAACTGACTAGCACCGAACATTGCTCATAGGAAAAGTAGAGACTCACAATCATTGAATTCAAATGTGATTTTTGTCGTCTATGTAGCTTACACTGTTTCATTGTTTATTATAATGTAGGAATTCAAGCGTGAGAGATGATGAAAGATAGTGCACAGGAAGAAATGAGCCCATCTATGTGCAATCAAACGATACTAATATTCTTTCAATCACGCCCCAGACAATAAGATGCAAAGGGACCAAGTTTTAAAGGTTATTATAATTCAGCCGAGAATCAAACCCATAACCTCCCGATCCAGATTAGAGCCCCGAGACCAATGTTTGCCATACCAAGGCCCTGCCCTTGGGGGATATCGAACAAAAGTGAAGGTTCCTCAGACAAAAAAGTTTTGTCCTGGCTTTTTCAACAACTGAATTTGTGTTGGTTTGGGGTTTTGTTTGATATTTTTGTAAACACAGCGATGTCTTCTTATCAACAATTCTAGTCAAACAATTGATGACCTGGCACATTGGGACATTTCACGTAGTACAGCTAAAGTTCCACAAGGGGAAATATACCCCCCCCCCCCCCCAATTCCTCTTGAATAACCTAATAGTGTTGATAGGGCATTGAACATGTTCAAGTATATGTATTGGCCTTCAGACACCTGGTCGACGACTTCTCCTAGTACTGGTCACCTAAGGTAAAATACTAGGCGAAGAGCAGCTAGGATGATAAATTAAATTCGTTAAAATTTCCGTCATGAATCGACAGGTAACAAAGTTTGAACCCACACCTCCCAGTAACCAGGTTACTAACACTAACAAAGGGCCAGTCAAAGCACTAAACTTGTCATTCTAATCTAAAGCATTTTGTGTATGAATCGACCAGGTTAAGATTCAAACCCAGTTTGAACCAGTCAGCTTTCATTAAGATAGATCTATTAGTTCAAATTCTATATATATATATATATAGTATAAGGTTTTACGGCGCTCGCAACTGCTAAGGTCATATGAGCGCGCGAAACACAAGTTGTTCACCTCTGCGAAAGTTCACTTCACGACTGGTAACTAATTTACTTTAAAATGCTAAAAAGTTAAAATATTCAGATTCGGTGTAAATACATTTGTGATCTAAAACAACTTTTAAGTAACAATAAATTTTTTTAATAATATCAAATTCACTCTACAACTCGCCATAAAGGCCAATGGCCTTTATAAAATTTAAAATTCTGCTGGGAACAACGACGGAGAAAATATCCTGCAATTTCTTGCATTTATAATATTTCCTTCGGATCTCTCCAAAGTCTAGACATTCTGTTAAAATGTGTCTAATGGTAAAATCAAATTCTATAACTCGCCGTCGTCCATGTAGATCTCGGCCTATACTTATTACGACGGCGAACAGTGGCACAGAGCTGCGTCGAACCGGCTACATGCAGCCTCGTGTCACGGCTGTGCGGGGAAGCGTCCTGAGCGAACCGGCCACCTGCAGAGAACCGGCCACCTGCATTGTGCTGCACATTTTTTGTGATTCCATAACCGGCTACATGCGAAATAAAACTATCGGTTATGGTATTTAAGAAAAAACAAGTAGTATTTGGTCCCAACACGTATAACTCAACCTTTTGTAAAAAAATATGAAAGATTGTGCTGCGCGTTTTAAAAATAATCAGTTTTTTGTTCCTCCTGTAAAATTTGCTTTTCTGCATGTAGCCGGTTTGTGAATCCCATCGACGATATGTACAGAAAGAGACATACAGTTCCCCATACATAGACACTCATACACACACATACAGTTCCCCATACATAGACACTCACAAACACATACAGTTCCCCCATACACATACACTCATACCCACACACACACAACCCCTCCCTCCCTCCCGACACACACAGACAGACAGACAGACACACACACACACAGACAGACAGACACACAGACAGACAGACACACAGACAGACACACAGACACACACACTAACTTGCTGTTTCTCTCAGAGTTGTACAAAGGCCCCAGGTTGGGCATCTGGTCGCTGATAGCCTTGTCTAGCACACACACGGCCGCCGTTTTGTTCATGGGGTTGAACAAGCCAAACACAGACTTGGTACCTCTGGGGGAGACAGAGAGAGAGGGAGGGGGGACATATGAAGACGGGAGGGGGGACATGTGAAGACGGGAGGGGGGACATGTGAAGACGGGAGGGGGGACATGTGAAGACGGGAGGGGGGACAT